GGGAGGGAGAGAGAGTGCGTGACACACGATGGAAGTCCATAAATCTAATCGACGTCCACGGAAGCACGAACGCGGGAGAGTGGAAGGGCAAAAAAGGCGAAAGGTAGCGGTAGACGAGAGGGAGAGCGAGGGAAAAAGAGATGGGAGAAGGGAAGAGAGAGAGAAAGAGAGAGAGAGAGAGAGAGAGAGAGAGAGAGATCAAGATCGAGAACGCGCGAGAGAGCGAGAGATAGGCGGGGTGGTTCGTTAAACGAGCTTAACGTGTGCCACCGTGGTAAGGCATTACTCTCGACTAACGGGCCGTGTTGCAAACCCTATTAGCAATATATTTTCCTCGGTCCGTCGGACCTCTGGCCCGCCATTGTGCTGCCGGCCGAACGGTTTACACGTTGTCGTTGGAAGCGCGCGCCGCCTGGTGAGATTTTCGGTCTCGTGGGCCGAAAGCCCACTCATCGATTCCCATCTTGTTCTCCGCGCTGGATCCTTGCAGACGCGGCAGATTTGCGCGCTCGCCGGGCGAATTCTTTGCGAATTTCATTCAACGGCGACCTTGCGAGTAGTTTTACCTCCCGTAAAAGGGCGGCCTGTTGATATGCCGATTCTTCAGTCGCTTCATCAGCCGGCAAAGTAGCCCTTCTCATCCGCGTTTTGAAGGAGCGGGAAACTGCTAAATGGAGTGACTAATCCATAATTTGACCCAAAGAAAAAAATATATTTTTTATATTGATCGTTTATCGTTTTTATGTTCCGTTGATGATTGTATGTTAAGTTTATTTAAAAAATTGTGCTAGTTTTAGACCAATGATTTATTAAAAAAAAAAAAATAAAAGAAGGCTACGTTTTGTTGACTGTTTAATATTGATCTAATAATGGATAAACGTTTATTTGTGTAATCTGATATACCAGTGACAATACCTCGATTATTTAAAGTCAATATTCCGAAATTGACTGATTAAGAATTGGTCACCCCTTACTAGTAAGATAGAAGTACCAATACCTTGATACTAATATAGCATTGATGCTTAATTCTGAACATTCTTGTTATTTTAATTTTTAAACGAATATTTTTTAAAATTTCAATGTAGAATATATGTGTCTCTTTATATTAAAAGTTTAAATATTCGTATTTAAAAACTAAAACAGTAAGAATTTCCTGAGTCAATGACTAAGCTGCAATATGCTCTTTGCCTCCTATTTCTTGTCTCCTATCTTTTCCTGGCTTAAGGCTTAAGCCAGAAAAATATAAAGGAAACGAAGCACGAAGCAAATGGCACATTTTGTAGAACAGACTTTAGGTACCAATGTTATCAGTGTCCCGACATCGGTACTTTTGCCTTAAGTAGCACTCTCGGACGGTGTCACATCTCGTGTCTCTCATTTGTAACCCGCCGTCGACAAGACAGCGACAAGACGGCGGCGGGTATTCCCGCGGCTCCTGTGCTCCGTACACGGTGGAATTTCTGCAAAAGTTCCTGCCGAAAGCCGCGTCGAGGCCCGCATATGTTAACTCCGTATAGTCTCGCGGTCTCTCTCTCTCTGTCTCTCTCTCTCTCTCTCCCTCTCTCTCTCTGTCCATCCCTCACGCAAAATTCCGCGGGAGACGCAGCGAGTACGGGATTCGCGGGTGCGGATCGGCGGCTTATCCTCCACCTACGTGAGCAGCCATGACGATCCAACGTAGGAAGAGATGCGAAAATCCCGCGAATCATATCCACCAGCGGAAACGTGAGGAGGGCCGCCGAACACGGAGGATGAGAGGGCTAGCTCTCCCCCGGCTTTCTACGGAGCGCCGTGGCACGACTTTGGACTTTGGTTTTGGAACAGTGAGGCGGCGGGGGTTGTCGATGCCGCGAGCTCGACGACGTAACGGACCGAATAGCAAAACAGCCGTTGCACATACGGAGACTGCAATAAATATGTAAAACTCGGCTGGAGGGTGAATGGAAGATTAACGAGCGCTCTTCTACCCGAGGGAGAAGCGCGCTCTGGGGGATGAGAAAAAAGCTCGCCACTGCGATAGGTACAATCGGCTGCTTCCGCATCTTCCTGGTCTCGATGGCATCCCGACTACGATCGCGATCGCCTTTTTAATCGGTCCACTTGTAGTCGGTCGATTATGTCGGTAATGCGCGCGCGTTAGAATAATGATAATATGATAATATCGTACATCGCTATAGTGTCTCGCTCAACTGAATATTCATGAGATTAGTGTCGGTGACAGCGATTTATTTCGTAATTAACCGTAGAAAGCTAGCGCAAAGTTATTGTTAATTAATACTGATACCGGTTTTACACATGATACCCCGCGCGGGGATAGCAAGATGTGTATATATATATATGTGTGTGTGTGTGTGTGTGTGTGTAAACGGTGTAGTATACACGATGGATTATTAATTGCCGATCTGTAAAAGTTAATTGCGGACAATACGCGGAGCGTCACTTGGCTCGCTCGTTCGCTCTGTTACTTAATTATTCGCCCGGCCTCGATCGGTATGCAGCACTGCCAGCGGCCAGCCAGCTAGCCGGCCAGTGAATCGAGATGTCGAATCACGAGGATTCGGCGGCGAAGAGGACCGTAAATAACGGATGCGGCACGATAAGAGGACGGTCGCTCGAAATAGAGAATGCGGAGACGATATTTCGGTAGGGTGGGAATCGCTCCTCGTCGGAAGAGAGGAGAGCGCGTCTCGGATCAGACGCGACTCACGTCCGCGCGACGTCTTTCGGCTTTTTCGCGAGCGAGCGGAGTCGATTGTCAGCGTAACAATGGCGAACGGGCGGGAGAGGCGACGACAACGTCGTCGTCCCGGGACGACCGACGGATATCTTTTCGAGGGATAAACGCCGCTATAAAAGACCATGAATGCCGGGTATTAGCGCCACTAAAGCGTCGCCTCGCGTTGGCTCTGCGCGCCGCCCTGCGCCGTCCTCGGTGTAATCTCCGTCGAGATTACGACGTCCGTCTGCGGAATCCCGCGGGTGCCACAGCGCTCCTACGGAGAACTTCCCCGGGAAATTCGTACTCCTCGGCATATCGATTCCGCCCACGGCGATCGTATCGCACGCCGGAGACGCCAATTATTCGAATACCGATTATCGAATTCTTTCCCCACGTCGCGCTAATTTAATCGCGGTCGCCGCCCGGGCGCGATATCTCCTCGCGTCTTGCACGTGCAGCGAGAGATCCTTAATGGAGTCGAGCTAATTTTAATTGATCCACTCCGCGACATGATAATGATAATGAGCGAAAGGTTCCTGTGATCCCATATTCTAAGCAAAATTTTTTAACGAAAGAGTATTTTTCTTTTAATAAGGGGGAATAATATTGTACGCTGAGAGTATTTCTTTTTTAATTTTAGAAAAATCTCCTCTTGAAATTATATGTAAATGTACCCCACAAAGTACGAGATTATTTTTTTCGGGTGTTACTAATCAGGATATGATCAATCACATTAAAGTCTGATTAATAATTAATTTCATCGACCGATGAAATTATTTGTGCTTATTTTAGTAAAAAAGAAATTTCTTCGATAAATATCAAATGCTGCTCTTAATTACCAAAAAGTCGATCTGACTGCAAAGTGAAACTCGATCAGGTTGAGAAATAAATCGATTAAATATTTTCTTGACTAAAATAATCGGGAAATCAATCATCAAAATTAATCAGTCGTCATATATAAAATCACACAAGTATTTTCACCGATTGATAACGTTAATTATTAGTCAAACTTCCACATAACTGATTGTAAACTTGTTAACCATTAACTTCATTAATCGATTAAATTGTTCACGATTTTATATATGATGATTGGTTATATAATTTTTATTGTAGAGATTTGCCGATTATCTTTTAGTCAAAGATAATTTTTGTCGATTAGATGCAACACTGATTCGCGGTGCGTTCTCGTTCATTCTCGTGTTCTATCACGTGCCGCTTTTTAGCTTCAAACGCATACCTTCATGGTTTGCATTTGCTGAACACGTCGCGGAAATATCGGCGCGTACATAAACACTTCACGGGCTTCCGGCTTGCTCCGGCTCGTTTTGCAGCAGAGTCAAGCCCAGCGTGGCTTACAACTACCCCCGCGGATAGTCACGAGGAGGTGAGAGAGAGTGAGAACGCGCGATATACTGGCGCACGTGTCTCCACGATGCCGAGTAAAGCCCGCAACGCCGTCACCGTCGAAACCGGTCCTGCACTTATCGAGCTCGCTTATCGAGTTTGCCTTCCTACGAAAACCCTCTTCGCGGCTTCGCGTCGCGTCGCACCGCGATCTTTTCTCGCTTTTACCGCACTCGCCCGAAGGGAAGAGAGGACACACGAATGAATGGAGAGAGAGAGCGCGCGCGCGCACGTCGAGTAGCGTCGTTGCGACAATAGCCGAAGGCAATTTCCATCTGACATCCGGGCGACATATCGGGACGAGACTGTCGCGTCGGCTTGTTTGCGTTTACCTCGGCTGTATCGGCCGGGCGATGAAAGCAAGCGGGGGATTCCTGGCGACGTCAGTCAGATGAAGACTCTGCGCCACCCGTTCTTCTCTCTTTTCCCATTGGTCCTCGTTCCGCCTATTATAGCAGCCCGGGGTTATGTACGAGGGTCGAAATGTGTACCACTCGCTTCCGCGTGGAAGTACCTTTTTTTTTATTGATGGTTAATGATAAAAAATACGTACGAATTTTCTTCTCCGCAAAACGAAAGAGCGACACACGGGAAGCGAAACGTTCATTTGAGTGATTACGCTTACGAATATTTTATTTTTTGTTATTTGCTACATTGAGAGAATGTGTCCATTAAATATTTAATTTACTTTTAATCTGGACCTCTGCGCTAAATTTGTTTATATATAATATAATCAAATGAACGCATACTAAAAGTAGATACATGATATTGAAATGTAACGTGACAAACACGGTATTATCGGACATTAGAAAAATGAGTTGTGTGCTTTTATATGAGCGCGACATCTTTCTCATGTGTCTTGGTTTTCTGCCTACAGTGCCACCGGCGAAGCCGATAATCTATGACGCGAAGAAACGGGACATGAGCAAACTTCTTGAAGCTTATCCGGAAGGGGCCGACTTGTTCCTGGTGTGCGAGGTGCACGGCGGTAAGTGTCAGATTATGACACGTCAACAATTCGACTTACGCTTTTGACGTCTTTCCCTGAGACGTCTCAATAAGTATACATTCCGAGAGATTAGAGATACACTGTATTTAGAGTCTGATCTTACTGTCTAAATCTTTGCTCCGAGTTTAAAGTGACAGCCAAAAAATGAAGTGGCCAAATTTTCACTCGTTTTTAGAGAAATTCGCTCCAAGAAATTAAGGGAGTAAAGATTTGAGATCGTTCATCTTTAGATGCTGTGAGGACCACATCTGTGGAGAGCGCAGAGCTTAAGACAAACTTACGACGATCTTAAATATCGATCTTAAAGATTGAACTCTGAGTACCATCTTAGACTCCCTCGAATCGCATATATATACGCGACTCGATGGGCTCGTTACATATTAATCGTATTCGAGGCGAATTTTACTTCACTTACGCCTCTTGGAGAGAGGATAGAAGGGGGGAGGAGGGGGAGGAAGAGAGAAGTCGGGAAAGATCTCGCGGTCGGGCCGTGCGACTCGAGTGGCCGCCTCGGGACGAGAAGATCGTCTCGCGAACAAACGATCTCGCGCGCGAATCGCTCGGAGGAAACGACGAGAGGCGTAAACGTATCTCGTGCGTGCCGAACGAAAAATCCCATTTCGCCGAGGCGCGGGTATTCACTGGCGCACCGCCAATTCCATTTAGAGTCCTCGACACAACGCACTCGAGGACGCCCGCGGGCAGAAGCGGAGATGGATCGTGATGGCCGTGGAGCGTGGAGAGCGGAGGAGCTTAAAAGAGTCCGCTCGCTTTTTCGTAGGCACCGAAACGACGCTGGGCGTCGTGTCGCGCGGCGAATCCAGCCCTGGACCTACGCCAATTTCGATCCACCGAAACTGCCGCCGTTCCGACGCACTCGCCAGAAATCGTGGCCCTGCTTCCGTCGTCGTCCTCGTCGGAAATAAATTATCGCCGCGATGGCCGCGATCGCGCGGGACTCGAACTAACCTGCCCGGCCGCGAGATCAGCAGCGCGCCTTTAATCCTCTCGAGCAGTTCCCCGTTTATGCGAAATAATCGTGCGATTCTTCCGCGAGCATTCCGCGCCGGGCCCAAGATCTGGATCGATCGTCGTCATCGCGCGCGACGAAGGAACTTCGCCGAGGCGCTCGGCGGAACGGTGCTTCCGCCTCGTCTCGAAGATCCTTGCAGATTTCCCCTAGTTTCGGCGCGAAAACGCTGCTTGTCGCACAGGCACTTCGAAGAATTAAATTCCAACTAGGTTTCTTATTGGAGATACGTCGTGCGAAAATTTCCACGTCGAGCGATACGTCCAGCCACCTTTTCAACAAAAATCCACGGTATAAGAACACTTTTGTTTCATTCTGTATTAACGCTTCGCGGAAATGGTAAATGCGAGGAGGAGTCGAAAACTTTGATTTTCAAGAGGAATCAAGAAGCAGAGGAGGACGGAAGTGACCTCGCAGTTCGCCGTTCGCACAGTTGTCGTGTAATCAACTTCTTGAAAGGCCGCCAAATTCGATTCCGAAATTTATAAGGACTTCCAGCTCCCAGCGACACGAGGCGTCTTTGTTTACGAACAACTTTTCGAAAAGAATCCGATTAACTGTTTATTACTGCTCTCAGCGCGAGCTTGCTGGACGCAAAACACACATTTTACAAACGCGACATTAGAAACTCCCTTTTCTTTCTCTCGCATCACACGGCGAGAAACTTTGAGTTAAAATTTCTAAAAAAAATGTTTCAAGATGAGAAGAGAGATACTGCCAATAAAAATACGAAACAGTCGATGTGAAAGCGGAGATGAATCTCTCTCGGAGAGGAGGAGGGAAGAGGAGGAGGCAGAGTGGAAAATGAAAAGCGCGCTGGCAGAAGATTAACGTATAGTTGACTTCGGATTTCGTCGTGTAGAGCGCGATGTGAATCCGTTGGATTCGTGCCAATTCGTCCGCAGACATTGCCGAGCCACTATTTCCAGTTTAACACGAGCCACGACCTCCACCCCTCCTCATCCGCCCCCTCGCGATTCCATCGCGGGGATTGCGAATTGTTTCGAACTAAGTTCCATTTCCTGAGAATGTTCGATGCCTTCCGCGAGTCGACTAGCACGTCGCTAGAGCCGTATTTCGTCGATGCTATTGAATTTCAACAAACGCCAGATAAATAATTAATAGCCCACCTCCGCGGCGTCAGCTGGCGCCTGTTGAAATGTTCATTAGGCTCCTGTAACCGGAGAATCTAAGCGATATAATTTTGATTGCGAGCTCTGGCACTCGTAAATAGAGACACTCCGGGCGAATGACATCCGTTCATCGAGAGTCACGCAGAATAATGCTCGTTCGAGTATGCATTTGTGTCCCTCGATTGTGGAGTCTCCAATTTTAGTCCATTTCCGATTCGATGATAGACACGAAATAAAAATCTACCGTTGAAATCTTTTTCAGGTTGTCCGGTCTATAGTCGCGAGTTGCACTCTCAAATTTGCTCAGCTGAAAAGTGAAGCTCGCTCCGGGTTTACAAACTCTGAATTTGCTGAATCTAATTAATGACATCGCCATGAGTGTCGTTTTTATCGCGACGATATCACAACTCGATATTAACGAAAGAGTTTTCGTGCACGTAACATGTCCCCGACGCAAAAGTACCTCGAGAGAATCGACGGGGCTGCGAGTGAGATGTCATATTTTTCACCAAATTTCCCGCACGAACGATTCCACTCGCGTCTCGTATTCCGCGCGTCGGCATGGCGATGATTCGAAATTATTGCACGTCCTAGCTCATTCCTATCTTTCCATCACGTTCTATTTATTGTTATGCCGCCATTGTTGCGTTTCCATACGGTCCTATTTATTATTACGCTCCTATTGTTGCGTCTTGTTGAGGATTCCTGGGAGACTGCAGGAGTATCTGCGCGGAGTATTCCGCGGTTCATTCAGTTTCCCCCTGAGGAACGTTTTTTCGACGCGGACGAGGATTTCCTCGGAATATACCGTCTTTGGCGCCGCGAAGCAAATGAACAAGCGCACCGTTAACAATAGAGAGATGTAACTGGAAATACATTAACTGCTCAGTGTTGCGCGCCTACACAGTTTGTGAATATTATTTGCATCAATAATTCCCAAGATATTAACAGAAAGAACAGAAATTCTTGCGAATTAATCTTCGAACGATCAAACGAGAGACAAAATGATTTTCATTTCAAGTACTTCATTCCAACTACCATTTGACTTTATTCCAAGTACTTCAACAGAAATTCAATTTAAGATACGTTGAAAACTGTCAGGTCGTCATAAACATCGACTCTTGCGTTAAGGAAAGACTGTTAAGTTTTCACAAAGAGCTATACGTTGCACGAGATCGTTCTGTATCTATCGATTGTCGACGCGTTGTGCGCGGTTTATATTAATTAGCAATACTTTTCGTTATCATTATCGACCGTTATATCATCGAGGCCACGAGTAAACGAGGCGTAATTTGGTAAACGACTTTCCCGTTGCCTGGAAGGAACCGCGAATTGCTTCGCGTGCGAAATTCACCGAAAGATAGCGCACAATTCCCCGGTTGCCCCGCGCGCGAACCCGATGTGTTTTTGCGCTCGCTGCAATTTCACCTTTCGCCGCGCTTCGGCGTCAAGCGGAAACGCGCTCCTCGGGACAGGTGATTTGTCACACGAGAACGAAACGAGAGAGTGCGGCTCGCTCGCTCGCTCGCTCGACTTGCTTCGAGAGTTTTTCGCGCGCATACAGGTAGCTGATGACTTCGGGGCGGAAAGCTCGCGGACTCTCGAGACGCTGCAAGCGGTGGCGGCGAGGGTAAAGCAAGGAGTGAAGTAATAAGAAGAGCTGCGCCGCCGCTACGACGTCAAGCGGAAGATCCGACGAGCGAACTTTCGGCGCATTTGTATTTCCGCCCTTTTCCCTCCCGAGGGAAACTCTCGCTCGCGTCGCGCGCGTACTGATCTCTCTTCGAGAACAGCTGATTGCTCGTATTTCTCATTCACTGAGAATCCAGAGCGCCACTTGTTTGCACGACTTTTCCGCTCGTTACTTCATCGTGAACTTCGCCGTACGCGTTTCCGGACTTTTAGTCGTGCGACCTGTTTCTTTCGTTCGCTTGGCTTACAGCGATGGACTATAAACGCCGTGGGAAACGATCTAACGAGATCCTCAGTCGCATCCGCCGTGCTCGGCTTCTGCTGCGATACAGCGCGCTGTAATGCATCGTATTATTGTATCTTCTCTTCACGGAGGAAACCGTTATGGCTGCTGCGACCGCGATCATATTTCTTTGGTTAGAAGAAAGATTCATGTGAATTGAAGTTAAATAGATATTGCGTGAAATATTGCTGCTGCTGTATGCCCATCTATGCAGTTTTCACAGCCACGGTTCTTATGTGATATATAATGTTCAATTAGCATATCCATATATGAGTATGTCACTATGCTGCAAAGCGTTAAAAATCAAAACGATAAGAACGTTCAGAACTAGGGACGTATCCGGGAATTGGTACTTCTGCGCTGAGAGAAGAAATATCTAATAGTAATTAAATAGTAAATATTTATTCGGCGGGTACACTAATACAAGATATGTACTTGTACTAATATAAAAGATTTTTCGAATAAAAGAATTTACATTTCTTAAGGAAACCCTACGAAAGCAACTTTATTCTATTTAAATTAGAGAATTTAGATTTACGTAAAAATATTTATGTTATTAATGTTCATTAAATAAATATTTACTACTTTTCCTTTTAGGTATTTGTTCTCTCTCGGTATATCTTAGAATACTGAAAGTTCCGCTTAAACATGTATGGATAGGCAGCAAAGAAGGCCAATGTACCACTTTCAGAGCACTACGGCTTCCACAACTCTTTTGCATATATAGCCGATAAATAACATGAATATTTTGTTGCGGCAACCATATTTAGCCAAGTGATATCCTCAGTGTTTCCTTTCTTCTCTTTCCTTTTTCTCCGCAATGCTTATCTTGGATTATGAC